TTTCGAATCACATTTATTTCTTGATTCCCCCCAGATTATTCTCATAAAGAAAAATCAATAGGTCTTATGTTGGAAACCATGTTAGTAAGAACACTATGGATTATAGAACAATAAGAAATAACAATTGGAGAACAAAAATACGAGTAGCAGTTAGAATTTAGAAATGCTACTCCTTTTGTCATTTAAAACTTTGTTAAGTTTGGCCGACACAAAAATTAATAAAGTAAAAATTGTGTGGTTGAGATTTGTGCAGAGGAGAAAGAATCAACCGGAACCACAAATTCTTTACTTATAAGGAAAAGTGACAGAGTTAAAGGGAGATCAAAAAAGGAAAATTGACAAAGTTTTAAGGGACAAAGAGAGGATATATCAATTGGACCTGCACATTGCATACTTGGTTAATAATATGATATCTATGTTTAGTTGGGATTTGACTTTGAACCCATTTTGAGTGATATTGGAGTGTGAACCGCCCTCCATCCCATTAATATTGTCTCATTTTACCTCTTCGGAAAATCCCACTAAAATTGTCTCATACCAAATTTGACAAAGTTTGTGGGGCTCTAAATCATTCTTACTTTATTTTTACTTTATGAATTGATATTAAGTTATTAACCACACAAATTCACTTTTCTTAATAATCGTGTCACCTGACCGGGCTAAACTTGCAAGTGTACAAGTGACGATATAGTAATAAATTCCGGTAAAATACCGAGTCGAATCCACAGGGAAATGTTGTTTAATTCAAGTCCGAGAGTAGATAGCTTTAAATAAAGAATTGAGTAAAGTGCAAGGATTTTGATTTGTGTGTTGTTGTGAAAACAACAACTTGGTTCTTCTCTTTAATTTCCAGGGATATAACTTAAATTAATTTGAATTTAAAATGATTGATAACAACAACTAAGGTTTCGGGGATCACTTAAATGCTTTAATAGGGTTGAATATTAGTTCTTTTCCAATAATTATGAATACGATGTCGCTAATATATTCTCAACTCCGGTTAAGGCAGCGAGAGCATGGTTTTCGTTGCGTGTAAGTCCCGTTATGGCTTACATTCATCTACCGAAAACCCCGTTGAATATCAAGACATCACACCCGTATCATATAAGACCGAATATATTTCTGTTCTCGGTACTATATATGTTTATCCTTTAATGTTCATAGTTTAGACTTCAACGTTAATTGCAAGTATAAACTAAATTTAACATACTTCTATGTTGTACACCATAGTAATAAACAATCAATATATAAAGGATAAATCACAATTTATTGGTTTAGAACTTTTATCAAACACCTAGTGAGCATAGAAGTTCATCGCTAGCCTTAGCTAATAATTTAGCTACTTGAGCTCATACTAATTACAAAAGTGTAACTAATATAAAGTAAATACACTAACATAAAGAATGCAATAATGTCACCGAGCAAATCCCCCCACACTTGAGCGTTGCTAGTCCTCGAGCAATAATGTCACCTTCGGATGCTTTGGGTTAGTTTCAACAAAGATATATGTACAACAAATAAATCAATTTTAAGATAGGTAAAAACAATGACATATAACTCTTTTGTCATTCTCGGTCCAAAAACCATTTTTTCGATTAGTCACAAAAAAGTATCATCTGTATTTAGAAAACTTCTTATACTCTTGAGAATGAAGGAGTGATTTGTGACTATGACTTTTTGATTGAATGGGATGACTTTGTGATTTTGTTGACTTTTCAGTTGTATAAATCAGCTGAACTTCCTAGCTGAGGTCATGAGTTAATTTTTTTTTCATAACTCATTTGGATTGGTTTTCAACAAGTATTTACTAAAAGTCATTTTGATGATGGCAATTTATTTGATGAAATGTGAGAGTGAGTTTTGTATTCAAAAATGGTGCTTGAGTATTTGAGATGTATTTGACCATTTTTGAAATGAAGAAAAGAGGTATTTCTAGTCACAAGAGTTCTTTTGGGAATATTTTTCAAGAGTAATAGGTAATCTAAATATATGATAATTTTTTTTGTAAATAATAGAAAAACCTTTCTCAACCAAATACCCATTTAAAAAACATTTTTTTTTGTTTTTACCCTCCTAAAAAAATTATTTTTGCACACAAAATTTATTTTAACTACCCATGAGATGCACCCCCACACTTAAAATACATTGTCCCAATATATAATGCACGATAAACAATTACTCCATCAACATCCATAATAAAGTGTGTTTAGAGGAAAGTAATGTCATGGGAAAATGAAATAAGACCAAGGGGAGTCAATGGTGTGGATCGGTAGGGGGTACCCATGTTGGGTGTAGTAGTAGTTGGTGAATCTCTCGAATTGCTCCTCAAACCTCTGCTGCCGTGCTTCTTGCTCATCCATCTGCGTGTGCATTCGAGCCATGGAGTGCATCACGTATGCCATCACGGGGTCGGTAGTGTGTGGTGGCACCGGTGGCTCGGGGGCAGCTTCATCATCGTGAGCATCCTCCATGGCTTCTTCATGTACCTCTTCCGCCTCATCATCATCTCTCTTCAAGCCTATCCCGTAAGCGAAATACCACTTCCCGGAGTTGGATAGTTTATGTTTGAGGGCGATCATGGTGTCTTTGTTCAAGACATTAGAATCGTTGGTATAAACAATTCCTCATCCTCTAAGTTTACCTAAAAGTGTCTGAAAATCTGGGTAAGTAAAAGAGGGTGACAAAAGTTTTTTGAACCTTGTTTGGAGAGCACCACACTTTTCATGTTTTTGAGGATGAAGCGGGGTAGCGGTATCCCTTCTATGTCTCCTAGTCCGAGCAACATCTTTTGAAGAAGGTATAGATCAATCCTCCGGACTTTGTGGCGGTCACTAGCACGAGGAACAATGTTGAACCCAATGAGGTAGACTATTAGGCGTGCATGGATGTGCCATAGATACTTGGTTTGTAGTCTCGTTTTTAGTCAAAAGAACTGTCGTGCCTCCACCTCATTGTAGGTTTTGTCGCTGAGAATGCCACTTTGGTTGTACTCCAATGTAGGTCCTTCGTTGCTAACTTGGAGGATGCTTGAGAGGAGGTTCAGATCGACTTTGATGCGTCTTCCTTTTACCGTTGTTTGGATAACCGCGTAGCCGGTTTCTTTGTCCGAGATGTTAGCATAAAACTCCCGGACCAACCGGGGGTAGTATGCTCATGTCAAAGTAAGCATCATTTCCCATCCAAACTGGGTGAACACCTCAGTGAGCTTGAAAACGGCATCGATCTCTCGGTGCACTGTTTTTTCCTCCACAATTTTCCACTTCTTTCTCTCCTCATACCACTCCGCGTTTTCACGGGTAGTGAAATGAGTGTTGGAACATGAGGAAGATGATGCACCGACATTTTGTTTTCGTTTAAGAGGCATCCCTGCAAGGTTAGAAGAGAAAACACAAACACATACCAAAAACTTCATCAATTCAAGGCACTTTTCTTAAAATTTTCATGAAATTCCCCAAAATTTCAAAATTAATCACACATTAATAAAACAATTAGGTTTAGAATGTTTATATATCAACACAAAGTATTTCAATACCATTCTAATCATCAATTGTTGCAAGAATTTGAAGACTAATCAAGAAATTCGGACCTAGAGTTCAAATGAAAAATTTTCAAGATCTTCCCCCTATTCTCAACTTTAATCTCAAATTTTTGGCAAGAAGCATATTTACATTCATCAAATAATAACAAGGGATCAACTTTCCACAATCATAAGCATGTATGTCACCAAAAATTGACCCAAGAGAGAAGAATTTCGAGAATGGGAAAAGATTGGGGATTAGCCTTTTTACCTGGATTTTGTGAAAAAGAAGGTTGGAGAGTGATGCTTGATGTTGCTTTGAAGTTTTTTGAGATGATTTTCAACCTTGAATGATGATTTGGGATGATTTGGAGGGGTTTTGGCTGATTTGCGTCGGGGGTCGTTCGAACTTGGGGGATTTCTTTTTGCGTGAGAAAGGAGGGGTGACGGGCTGGGTTTCATTTTTAACAGACGACCCGGCGCCGGCCATCAGGCCTACCCGGCGCCGGTTAAGCTACTGCCTCGCCCGTCCAGGTTGATTTTAAGAACACCCGACGCCGGCTGGTCAGTAGACCGGCGCCGGTTCATGTTTGGAATATTTTTTTTAAACAATTATAGATAAATATGATTGTGTTTTTATAAATGAACATATTTATTTATAATTGTATTTTGTTCAATTATAAATAAAAATGAATATGTGTATAACTAAACATATTTATTTATAATTGAAATCATTTCTGTTGGGTTGCCTCCTAATTAGCGCTCAGTTTAACGTCGTAGGCTGGACGCAACATACCGTTATTCTTCCAATTGGCATGCAGTGATTGCCGAAGTGATGTGATACTCCATATATGGCTTGAGACGATTTTATCTTTGAATGTTTGTACAGATAATCGTAGTTATCTATATAAAATACTCCCTCCGTTCCTTATATCTTTGTCAACTTTCCTTTTTTGGATGTCCCACTAAGTTTGTCACTTTCCTTTTTCAGTAAAGAATTTGTGGTTCCAATTAATCCTCTCTCCTCTGCACAAATCTCAACTACACAGTTTTTATTTTATTAATCATCGTGTCGGTCAAACTTGACAAAATTATTAGTGTATAGGTAATTATTGTGCTTATCATCACCCCTTCTATCCCATATTAGTGGGACGAATGTAGTAATTTTTAGAATTATTAATGTGTGCACTCATTTTAGTTTATTATATTGTTATCATCATCACCATCGCCTATTACCATCACCAACACCACCATTATTATTATTATGCTATTCGTAAATTATACTACTTCCATTTCAATGGATTTTGCATTCTTTGTATCATATGAGAAATTAGAATAATAAAAATTGTGTGATTAAATTTTGTATAGAAGAAAAGAAAAACTAGTAAAAACACAAAATTATTATTATAATAAGAAAGTGACAAAGTATTTTTTGAAGTATGAGAATGGGAATGTGCTCCGCGATTTTTGGGTAGAATACACGAGAAAAACGGCCAAAGCAAACGCCAACACATGCCACTTGTCAACCAGACGAAGCACGATTACCTGCATCCCACGCACCTACTCGGTCATAACTATGCATCGCAGATAATCAGATTCCGTCAATTTCTTCAAATTTTCTCTCCTTCGATTTCAATCGATTCCCTCTTCCTCTCTTAATCATCATCTCAATTTACGCGCACCCTTTCCACGCTCAACATAATCTACCAACCCCAAATTTTTTTTAATCACTTTATTTTTCAATCTAGGGCTTTACAATCATACTCAATCTGAATCCCTCGATTTGGGAAGATCGTTTTTTCCCGGGGCATCTCTTTACGATTTGAGGACGTACCTCATCGAAGGAGATGAGCTTTCAAGATCTGGAATCAGGTCGGCTTACTTCTCGTCGGGATTTCCCTAATGGGAAACAAGACCCTACCCAAGCCGTGGCTTCTGGCATTTTCCAGATCAACACCGCCGTCTCCACCTTCCAGAGGCTCGTCAATACCCTCGGTACCCCGAAGGACACCCCTGAGCTGCGCGAGAAATTGTTAGTGCTATTACAATTCGCCACACTTTTGTATTTTATTTGATTGATTAGTTAGTACTTCAAATGTCTTGGCTTTTTTCATCAATGACTTCACATGGAATTATTATTCAACCAAGTAATTAACTGCCATACAAATTTAATGCATTTCATTTGGACAATTTCCATCGAAACCGTATGCCCGACCTCAAAGAAATCACTCCCATATTTGCTAGGATACTTTGCGATTCACTTCTTCCCTGTGTCCACTTTGGTGGTCACTTTTGAGCAGCTGCAATGACAAAGAATGAATCTTTACTATTGGTTATGTGGTCAAAATGCCTTTTCGTTAACTTAGATCAGTAAGAAACTAGTCCAATAATGAAACCCATACATATTAACTGGGTTTGAATTGTATTCACAATCTGCCGCCTTTCAACTCATTAAAGGTATTGTGTTAAGAACCCATTGCTGTTGGATGTATTTATATTGTATATGTTTATCTATTTATTCATTTATATCGGAGTTTAAAACAATAGATAGATAACGGAGAAACATTATAAGATCAATCCTACACACATGCTCTCCCTCAACTATCCAAATAGTATGACATTATTCTTGACCACTTTAATCTACATCCCTTCATTCATATAGATACAAAATATGTTTTACTTGTATCGGCTTGCTCTCCTCTTGTTCACTTTTTCTTATTAGTTCTTTGCATATATTGGCGCCTACTCTGTCCTCCATGGGTGGTTTTTTTCTGGCAGTGATAGTTATGCCAAATTGCCAACTTTGATTACTTGCAGGCGCAAGACAAGGCAACATATTGGACAGTTGGTGAAAGATACATCTGCCAAACTAAAGCAAGCCAGTGAAACTGATCATCGGGTTGAAGTCAGTGTAAGATATAATTTCCATGACACCATGACCTTTCCTCATTCATTCCTCTATTTATTGGTTGTATCATCATGTAAATTCTGTTCCGAAGTATGGATTTGTTCTCCTCCTGCTGTATTCCTTGTTCTCCTTTGGCGATCTTTTTCTATCACAAACTTCCTTGTTTTCTTGCTTATAGGCATCCAAAAAAATTACTGATGCAAAGCTTGCTAAAGACTTTCAAGCTGTCTTGAAAGAGTTTCAAAAGGCGCAGCGTCTGGCCGCAGAGAGAGAAACAGCATATGCTCCTTTTGTTCCCCAGGCAGTCGTACCTTCTAGGTAATGCTGTTAATGAGCTCTTCTTTTAGGGAAAAAAGATATAATGTTGCAACTTGTGACTAAATTCATATTGCTGTAATATGTTTATATTGCACATACTACCTCATATCTTCAGAAGGGAAGCCTTGGCGCACTGGTTACGGTGTTTCCGTGTGAGTCTGAGAGGTCACGGGTTCAAGTCTTGAGAGCGGTCTCTTGTCAAAATGACAAGGGAAGGCTTGTCCCCTATACACCCTTGTGGTGGGACCCTTCCTTGGACCCTCGCCTTGCGGGGATGCCAATATGCACCAGGCTACCCACTTACTACTTCATATCTTCAGTTATTGAACCCTTTTCTCTTTGTTTTTAGTTTTTACATATTTCCCACATTGATCAAACTTTGATGAACAGTTATACTGCCAGCGAGGTGGATGTTAATTCAGATAAGTCCCCGGAGCAACGAGTTTTGCTTCAAGAATCACGGAGGTGGGTTCTGCAAACCCTGATATACTTTTTGCATGATCTTTTTGCAAACTGCTCTTGACAATGGTTGAACAAATGGTTATCCATGACATCCTTTGTTGTATTTTAATACGTGGGCCTATAAACACTTCCCTTTTGTAGTAAGAGTATAGATAAGTCATATCCTTCACACAACATCATCATTTCATTACTCTTGGTTCTCTTATCTAATAAAGTAATAAGTGAAGAGCATACCATGAGCATTGCAGGTGCACCATTGTGCCTGCAAATACGATCCTGTTTTGCACATGTTATTTTATATACACTATCACACTAAACTTTTAAATCTCTTTATTTTTGTAGTTTGTGCGCTTGCAATTTTGAAAATGTATGCATTTTCAAAACTATCCATTTTTATTATTTGTTGTAGTTTATAATGGCGGCTAAGGAGACCTGAAATGATGCAAGAAAATAAATGAACTAAAATATTAAAGATATAAAGGAAAAACATAGTATCTATAGCCTCAATAAAAACTCTCCAAGCACCCCATAGAAACCCTCATAAAAAACTTATTCTTGCCCACAGCACAATGGTGCCATTGTAATCCCAAATTCCTTTTTTTCTCCATTAGTAATAGAGAGCTTTATTTAGTGTACTACACTATGTAAGGCATAAAAATAGTAAATCAATTACACATTACATAATTATGATTGTTTCCCTAAATTGCCCCACCAATCCTAAGGAGCCTGCGATTTAATTTGATTACCCAAATCAATTCAATCACAGATTTTAAAATGAAGTCTTGCACACGATTTGTATCAGTTTATGTGATATGTTGATTGATGTGTCAGTTGATATGCAATTATTTTGCACCCAAGTCTCATGTCACAGTTATGTAAATAAATTCAAACTAAAGTTCGAATTGTTTCAAACTGCCAATACTTTCTTGATCAACAGTGACCCTGCCACCCTGGTGTTCTTAACTGGGGCTAATTTATTAATATTTTCTCTTGGTCTCTATAATACATTGACAGTGGAAGTGTGGAACATTTGGTAATATGCTAATATGAATTTTAAAATGTTGATACTCAATTGGTGGATACCACAGTTTATGCGTCCTTACCATTTTTTGTTTTGGTATCTCTTGGCTGTGCAATTGTGTATTGGATAGGTTAGTTCACCATTTTATCTGAAATGTACTACGATTATATGAGAGGTTATGACTATATTTGGATGGATCGAGTCCATAGTTTCCAAGTTAAGGTCATAAGAATATACAGTACAGCTTCATGGCGGCTTGTTTTTGTTTTAGTTTGAAGTATTTGTTCGATTAAAGGTTGCAAAGCATTTTTTTTTATATGTCATATGGATTAATTATAAAGTTGGAGAAGTCATTAATTATTAGTGCTACTTCTTTTTTTATTACCCCCCCCCCCCCCCCCCCCCCGTCCCATAAAGTAAGTCCCATTTCAATTTGGATCGGAGTTTAAGAAAGTGGGAATAAAGTGGAAATGTATGGTTGTGGTTGAGTAAGAAAAAGGTAAATGAATGTTAGCCACACAAAATTTTCCAAAAAGGGAAATGGGAACAATTTTTTGGGACGGCCCAAAAAGGAAAATGGGACTTATTTTATGGGACGGAGGGAGTATTTTATTAAAAGATTACTCCGTATAATATAATAGAAGTTATGTGATGAGACCTTTCCTCCACGTGTCTTTGCTGCAGACAAGAGGTTTTACTTTTGGGTAATGAGATTTCCTTCAATGAGGCTATTATAGAGGAAAGAGAGCAAGGTATACAAGAAATACAGCAACAAATAGGTGAAGTTAGTGAGATTTTCAAGGATCTTGCTGTCCTTGTTCATGAGCAAGGAGCCATGATTGGTCAGTCACTTTCCGCTTATTACTGTTTGTAATTCAATCTCAAGTGAAATAGACTAGATACAAAATTGTTTTTTCATTCAGATGATATTGGGTCGAACATTGAGAATTCTCAAGCCGCAACTGCACAAGGAAGATCCCAACTTGCTAAAGCAGCAAAGACCCAACGATCAAATTCATCTCTGGTAAGTATTCTTTACAGTCAACATTTCTTCTACTATTTCTTTAAATTCAGTTATGCGAGCTAAGTATTATCAGACAATTCATTTGCATGGCTGTGGTCTAAACATATTGCTCGATCCAGTTTGTTAACTCTTAGCAATTATTCTATATTCACTAATTGCAGACATGCCTACTCCTTGTGATATTTGGTATTGTTCTCCTTATTGTGATCATATTGCTCGCTGCCTGAGTAGAAGATAACAAACTCTAAAACCTCTACCCAAAAGTGAAGGTGATCAAAAGTTTCATTGCAAGGCACTATGCAGAACAGTGTGCTGGTAATCATAGAAATATAACTACTTTTATGAGATAATTGTGACGTATAAATTTCTCTTTCTTTATTTGGGGGGAGGGGTTATTGTAAAGTTTATTCTGTTGGGGAACAGGATGTGGTCTGGTCGTTGCTCGGAGGTTCTATCTTCCCTGTCAATAAAACTAGAATTTGTTATCGACACTCAACCTTGTGAAAACTAGATGTTGTCTTGATTATCTTCTTCAAGTCGAAGAGAGTTCGTGTGGGTTCCTTGCAAGCATGACCATTCAGTTTTCAATATTCTTTTGATACCTGCCTGTATGTTTGTTATATATAGAGATCTCTAAATTTGGGGGTGTGTTGAGAGGCCATATGGTTGCAATTTTGTAGGGGGCTCTGCATATCTTTCAATTAAACAGGGTAAGATTCTCCATGTCCCAGTGTTATATCCATTTTGGCCAAGAGAATACCAACTTCTAAACTAGTGTTTGCTTTTATAGTCACACTTTGATATGCACACAAAGGAGCTGGTGTTTAATGCGAAGCAATGTATCTAAGACAAAAAAGTTGGAGAATAGATCCTTTCGTGGTTAAACACTTAAACTCTTGCGGAGTATATTTCAATGTGCCGTTTTTCAGAGTTTCTCCAACAAATGGGTTTTTATGGTTTGCCATTATCACGTTTGTAAATTAAAAAATCTTAAATAATTTCAAAACTTATCAAATCCACCTACCATGATCTTTATTACTCATATTTATATGGGTTCATTGTCAAAATTGGACTAAAAGCTGATTATTTTGCACAAATAAGATCAAAAAGTAAACTATGGTTTGATGGACTAATTATGTGTGTTGGACAATACACCCTTGTTGCTATTGAAACGTTTTAATTCATAATAAAATAATAAAAAAATAGTAATTCGTAAATAATACTAAAAAATCAATAAAAATATTTGCATGATAATAATTAATTTTGTTTAAAAATATTTTAAAAAATTAAAAAAATAAATATGCAAAAATAATCACCGCCTCTTCTACGGCCCTTGCATCACCACCTCCAGCCACTAGGGGAAAGAAATGCCACATTCATTATCAATGTCATATTTATGATAGATTCAATGAAATTTTGACATTCTCAAAGAGTAATATACCTTTTTGTCATTTAAAAGAAATGGCATTTTTTTAAGAAAAAACTGCATGTAAGGAAACGCTTCAATGCATTTTAAATTTTGTTTATGGAGTTTTACTATTTTTTATTATTTTTTTTAAAAATTAAAAATTAAAAAAAAAAACCAAAAAACACTACAAAAAAAAATCACCTCTGCCTCGGCTGCCCCAGCACCATCAACTCCTGTCACCGGGGAAAAAAATTCCACATGTGTTAGGAATGCCATATTTATGGTAGATTCAATGAAAATTTTGACACTCAGAGAATAACATGCCATTTTTTTGGCATTTTCAGAAAAATGCATTTTTTATACCGACCGGAGGTGGTAGTGTAAGGAGGTAGTACAGGCGGTGAGAAAAGCATTCATATTTTTTTAATTTTTTTTATGAATTTTTACTATTTTTTATTAATTTTTATTATTTTTTTTTGTTTTTTAATTATTTTTCTACGATTTTTTATTATTTTTTACGAATTTATATGAATTACTCCGTAAAACATTTAATTCTGACTTTTGACTATCTTTTACTCATATTTGAAGGAGGGTAAGAATGTAATGAAAAAATAGATATGTTTTCAATAGGATTAATATGATCGTATTTTGGAATAAAAACATAACAAATTCTATTTTGAATTTTTGCCATGCTTTGGTCCTATTTGGAGTAATTTCCGTATTTATATTGAGCTTCTTGCTAATTTCATGGCACTAGCTATCCAATGAAATTAAAAGGCATGGATACATAAAGTATTTGGGAACAATCTATAAATAATCTATGCAAAATGATTACATCTACTCAACCATGATCTTCAAAAGATTCTCAAAATCATCAAAATAATTCCTAAAAAGATTACTCAACCATAAAGTACTCCCTCCGTTCCTATTAAAACTTCCAACTTTCTTTTTTCGCCCGTTCTAATTAAAACTTTCACTTTCCTTTTTAGTAAAAAAATTGTGGTTCACAACATTTCTTACACATTTGTCTCTTCTCTGCATAACTCTCCACCACACAATACCCACTATCTTAAATTGTGTGTCAAATCTATTTGGAAGATAAAATAGGAACAGAGGAAGTAGTAATTAAGTAGTAGTGGTTTGAAAATAATATTTTAATATTTTTAGCAAGGGAATACACTATACTCAACAGTCGACAACGGTATAAGTAAGTGATTTTTTAAAGTTGTTTGGAATGATGATCCTCAGGTCGCCTAAGCTAATTTGAATGATTGCACAATCACTATTGTGTCTCGTCTAGACATGGACCTGGGCCGGGCCTGACCGGACTTTTTCTGGGATTCTTGAGGCCCGGAATCGGCCCAGGTAGCTACCGGGTTCAGGTCGGGCCCTGGGCGGTTCAGTCTGGGTCGGCCCGAATAACTTTTTTTCCTTCTAATTACTTCCTACCCCTCACACCCCAAACCCGTCCAAAACACCCAGCTAACCCATTTACCTTTCTTTTTTAGAAAAACAAAAAATGGCCCGAACCATGCCTGGCCCGGCGGGGTGGGTTCATGTTTTTGATGACCCAGAGCCCGCCCAGAAACAGTACCGGGCTGGGTGGCCCGAACCGGGCACGGAACCGGGTACCGATCCGGACCGGGCCAAAACAGTATCGGGCCGGGCCGGGTCAACGAGTGTGATAATTTGATTTGTTTTCTCAAATATTTGAAGTGACCTTTTAAAAGTTTAGTGTTATTCCGGTGAAATTGAGATAATACGGTATTGACAAGAAAGAGTGATATGTGTGAAATAATGACCCGTATAATACTATTGGGCTTGTGAATTCCAAAATTATGACTTTTTTAGGGTTTCCCCAAATGTGTCTCAGAGCCTTACCACCCCTTCCTTCGTTGTCAAACATTTCATCGCTTCAGTAGGCCAGACAAATACGCCGCTCCATTTATTCATCTTGCCAGGTAGTTGCTCGCCAGACAACAGCCAAAGCCGACACAGGTCCTCCGTCGGCTTACGCAACCCCCATCCCAGCCCACGTATGTACTTCGGTGAGTCATCGTCCCCGTCAAGTTTCTGATTCTTCCCTCTTCTCCTTCTATTTGAACTGGCGATATTTGAACTGGCGAACACATTGGAGTTCCTTCTGGCTATGGCGAGCGACGACGAGTTCTGTGCGGCGGAGATGACTTCCAAATCGGCGGTGTGGTTGCTGGATTTGCATATCTGCGGCGTGATTTCCAATGTTAGGGTTCCAGCGGGTAGGTGGGCCTGTAATGAAGATCTATGGCGGGCGAGTTGATCTGTGCTGGTCGGCCTTTCGGGTGGTGGTGGTTGCCGGAGGACAGGTGCGAGGGCGGCTGGGGACAATTGATGCGTAGGGGGTGGGGACTGGAGTTCGTGTGGCTGTGGTGTGGGGAGGGGGGCTGGGGTGGGATCTGGTGTGTACGGCTAGGTGCGCGGGGATTGGGGCCGGGGGTGGGTGGGGGTTTGACGTCCAAGGGCTGGGGGCGGCGGCAGTCGTTGGCTGGGGGCGGTGGCATTCACTGGCCGGGGCGGCGACAATCACTGGCCGGGGGTGTTGGCAGTCACTGGTCGGGGGAGACTTCAGTCACTGTCCGGTGGAGTTACTGGCGGGCGGAGTCACTGTGACGATGAATTCACTGTGACGACGAAGTCACTGTGACCGGAGTCACTGTTACCGGAGTCATGGCGGCAGCGGCGACGGTGTTGGGGTCGGCGGTCACAGAGGTGCTGGTGGCTGCAAAGGAATATTATTATAATAATAAATGTATTATTAAATATAAAGAATAAATGACTTTTAGTCACTTTTTTGAAAAATTTAAACCAAGTCACATTTTTGTCCTTTTCATTCATTTTAGTAATATTGAAATAAAAAGACCTTGATTTTACATGAAAATAAGTTCAAATATATAATAAAAAAAAGTAGTATAATTTTAGTGATTATAATTGTATTCAAATGTTACATCACAATGATAATAGAACATCAAAACTTACACATAGTAACTTATAGTTAAGGATGGCAATGAGGGTGGGGTCCTGTGGGGAACCGCCCCGTGGGGGAGAGTTGGGGCGGGAGGTGGGGTGAGGCGGGGCCCCGTGGGGAACCACCCCGTGAGGGAGAGTTGGGGCGGGTGGTGGGGCGGGGAAATTATTTCCTCTCCGCTTAAATATGGGGCGGGTCCGCAGGTGTTGTGTTATGCACCCCGCATCGTCCCCCGTATATATACACATATTAATAATTAATAATAATAATTACAATAATAATACTAATAATAATAAGGGGTTTTTACAAAAATATTACCAAAATAAAATTTATTTTACGCAAATATGACCATTAGTTACTACAATGTAGTGTCATAGTAACCTAAGTTTAAAAATTGAACATAAATTACTATAATTTCATTAGTACTCTAGTCATTAGTCACATTTTTGTAAACAGTCTTCATTTTAGTCATAAATATTTAATTACTAATATGAAGTATTTAAAATAGCATGGTGGTCCGGTGGATTTAGTTGTTGCCTATCTAATGGGTTGTGCCTAATGGGTCTATCTAATTCTTGTTTAATAACTCATCTATCTTGTAAAATTGGTTATCAAAATCATATAAAGTAAAACGAATTTGGGAAAGTTATAAAGTGATATTCGCTTAAACGCCTCAAGCACAGTGTGAATGTTTTCTTCTTTTACTATTATAGTGCCTTCTTTATGATTGTAGTTCGGGCTCTTAAAAATCTGGTGACCGTAGGTCGTCCTGGATGCTGTCAAATGACCATGGTTGATTGAATGAAGGGCTTACGAAAATATTATAGAGCTAATCAATGCTAAGAAAGTGTTTGATAAAATTACTAAATCAAAATGTGTATAATGTGTTCTAGATTTGAAATGGGATGTGAGATTACATTGACACTTAAAAATTAAAAGGTTTTTTTTTGGCTACATACTAGAAGTGTTGTTTGATTTTTGAAAAACTATTTGGATCTGAAAAGTGTTAATTTTTGACGAATATTTCCCCCGTTGGGTACCCGTGGGTCTAGCGGGTCGGGGCGGGGTATGGGGCGGGTCGAATAGTAGTGGGGGATGGGGCGGGGGCAGGGCCGGTCCCGAGAAAACGCAGGCCCTATGCAACAATA